CTTGATCCTGATCTACTTCTATCTTTTCTTTTGGATGCTGACTTAGATTTTGATCCAGACCGTGACCTTGATCTTTCAACATTCTCTTTTGATCTCCTTTTTGATCTTGACCCTGATCTGGAGCGACTTTTATTTTTTCTTGAAGATCTTGACTTCTTTTTGTGCCTTGATTTGGAGTTGGATCTTGATCTACGTTTTGATGACTTTCTCTTTGATCTGGAACCAGACCGAGATCGGGATCTAGACAAAGACTTTGATCTTGATCTGCTTTTCCTCTTATTCTTAGATCTTGATCTCCTTGATCGAGATCGTGACCTTTGCTTTTTGACCCTACTTCTTGATCCAGACCTCTCTCTCCTAGGGGACCGGGATAGGGAACGCCGTCTTCGGCTTCCTGACGTTGATCTCCTTTGTCTTCTAATATCTGATCTTGATGGAGACCTTGATCTAGATCTCGATAATGAGGGTTTCGTTTTAGGTGTTTCTTCTATAATCCTAATTTTCCTTCCATAGAATTCTTTTTTATCCAAGCCCTGTATTGCTCTTTTCATGTCTTCTTCCGTAGTGAACTCTACAACACCTTCTCCTGGCCTTCTCCTATGCGTATCAGCAAAGCAAACTTCTCCGGCAGTGTTCATAAACTCTTTTAACTCCAACCATTTCGCGCGAGTTGAAAGATTTTCTACTCTGACGCGGAACTCAGACCGRGTAGGGGGTCCCATTTGCTTGGTGCGAGCGGTAAAACCCCCCGCAACGGTATACCCTCCAACACCATTTCTAGCTTCTTTGGCCCTCTCTACTAGTATACTTTGCCCGAGGAAATGCGTGTTATTCAAGGCTTGGACAGCTTTGTCGGCGTCTTTAGCCTCTTTAAACACAACATATGCAAAACCCTCTCTGAAATCCACCTCGCGAACTTTCCCAAACGCTTTCACAAGATCCTCGAGATTTTTCTCCGTACAAGTGGGTGCTAAACGACCACAATATATCTTTCCACTCATCGTCGATAAGGGAAGTCGAATAAATAACAAATTTAGGTCAAAAATGGAGTCGTCTTTGTGGATAATTTCGACAACTTCAAACAACTTTCACCACAATTGCCATGCTGCAGATAGCCACTCGTGCGCATAACGTAAATTTGCATACCGCTGGCAAAAAATACAATGTTACACGTGCGTTAGCTATGTTGACTGTGGGTCGTGTACGGTGTGGGGTGCGTTTGGGGCTTCGGTGCAGCCTCAATTCTTTACATAGAAAGCCAAACTCTTGTTGCCGGATAAGCAGAAATTCTGTTCTATTTACCACTGCAAGCAATCCTTCATCAGCGGCCTCTGGAGGATTTTATCGAGTCTTGAATACAAGCGATCGCKATGTTGTTCATAACGTGTGCTGTCAAACTATATTCCTAACGAGATCTACAAGGTATTTTATAAGCTTGACTTCAATGCAATTATTTCTAAATTTGATCTGATATTTCTTGTTTGAGCATAAATAGGAAATTTTTCGAAGTTTTATTATTTTATTTCATTCAGTGTATGACGTAACACCTCTTGGGAGACTGGACCTGATTATAGAATGTGACAATGCAAAATTATATATTTCTTTGTTTTTCAGCAGTTGGTTTAATCCACGGAGGTATTCTGGTTCCCAAAAAAATGATGACAGTAACTCAAGGTAATGAAAGAATGAGAACAAGTGCATGATTTATCAAGTTATATGTGAAAAAAGCATGTAGGATCAAGGCTGATAAAAGTGAAATTGAATAATATTAAGATGTTTTATAGTAGTTCATCAGAAAGCAGTAATAATGACAACCAAGATGACAATGGTGGTAATAACATCAAAGATGAACATGAACCAGTGATTGAGGACAAGACAGCGGCCAATGTCGACCCTTCCCAGGGTGCACTTGCACAGATGACCGTACCTGAGGTATTCCCAGAAGTACCTGTCATCCCAGTCCACAGGAATCCAGTTTTTCCTCGTTTTGTGAAAATGTTAGAGGTATGATTAGCATTCCAACCTTTTTGGGCTTCCTTTGGTCATTTCCACAGAGAACCATCGAGTGCAACACAGGCAACCCATCTGTTTATTATTGAATATTTTATTTTCAGATAAGTGACAAATCCCTGATGGACTTGCTSAGGCTAAAATGCCGACATGCACAGCCCTATGCAGGAGCATTTTTGAAAAAAGATGACAGGTGAATATAATCTTCACTATCATCACCATTATAATCATTTCCTCATCAAGAATTTTTGTTCTGAAAACATTTCTATCTGGTGAATTAACCATCACAGTTATTTCATTGCGTTTTTTTTATTTTTGTTCTCTCTCATGATTTCTCTCGTACAGCAATGAAGCTGAAGTTATCACCAAGCTAGATGAGATTTACAAGATTGGAGCCTTTGTCCAGATAACAGAAGTTCATGACATGGGAAACAAAATGAGAATGGTGATCCTTGGCCACAGGAGGTA